AACCAGAAATTAAAAAAGACTTTTTTAAATGAAGAGTTGAATTTCTAAAACATATTTCATAGTTACGAGAACTTCTGTTTTTATTTGTAATAGTGCTACAAAGTTTAAAAATGATACTGAAACTAAATTTGTGAAAAATTTCCCAGTTTTCCTAAGTAGTTAAATACCTCCTCAAATTTTGCACAATTTGTCCTGTGACATAGTAGGGCCATGTACATTATTATGTAAAAGCTGTAACCACGTAGAAGCTTTAATCTAGCCTATGCTTAAACTGAAAAAAGTAACAAAATTTCCAAAAATGTCCAATTTATTATACTTATTAGTTGCTAGATTTTCACCATTGCAAAGATAATGTAGTATTTAGTTTTCTTTATGTTATTAATGCTCTTGGGTCAAGGAAATTCTGAATTTTAGAAGGACAAGTGGTGAAAGTATTTTAAAGGTACAAGTAAAATCAAACTGAAATACTATTAAATTTCATATCTATAGTTTGTTTTACTTTTTTTGTTTTTTTCAGAACCAGGGATTGAACTCAGGCCCTTGTGCTTGCCAGGGAAGCACTTATTCTACTGAGCCAGTGTTTTACATTTAAAAGCACGAGTTTGCAAATTTAAATATATGAGGAAAGCCTATAAACTTTAAATATTTCCTGAATATGTTTTTGCTCTTATTTTTTCTCATGCTATCCTTTCATCCAAGGTAGAATTGTGATATTTTGTAAAATATGTTACACATTCCATTTTATAAACATATATCTTTTTCATGGACAGTAGTCTCTTCTTGTCATGTATTACTGTAGATAAGAATAAGCCTTCTAAGTGCTGATGAGATAGCTCACTAGGTGCCTGCTTTGGCAATCACAGGGACCAGGGTTCAATCCCTGGTCCCCCAGGCCCCGGTGGCCCCGCCCCCAATGAACCAGTCCAGGCGTGGTGGCACCTGCCTGCAATCCAAGTGTTGGGACGGTTGAAAACAGGAGGATCACTACAAGTCTGAGCTGTGTAGTGAGAGCCTATACCAAATCTATAAATGAAAATAAAAACAACCATAAACCTTCTATACCACCCTGTATCCTGCCATTCTGTACATTTTATTTTATTTTTTTATTCTTTGGCAGAACCGGGGACTGAACTCAGAGCCTTGCGCTTGCTAGTCAAGCGCTTATTCTACTGAGCTACCTCCCCAGTGCCACATTATTTTTTTTATTAAGCATAGGTAAAACAATGCATTCACACTCCTATATATAAAAAGAAAATAACAATGCTTTTTATTAAACTGTCCTTCAATGTTCTCTTTCCTTGCAGCTGAATGTGGTGCATCTGCAACAAATAATGAAGGGATTTTGCTTTCTCCAAATTATCCACTCAACTATGAAAACAACCACGAATGCATTTACAGCATTCAGGTTCAAGCAGGAAAGGGAATCAACATCTCAGCCCGAACGTTTCATTTAGCACAAGGAGATGTTCTTAAGGTAGGTAACCTTCGATATGTTTGTATTACGAGTGTTCTTTAAATCATTTTGTATGAGGGCCAGGGAGATGGCTCAGCGGAATAAGCGTTTCCCTGGCAAGTGCAAGTACCTGAGTTCAATCCCCGGTTCTGCAAAAAAAAAAAAAAATCATTATTGTACACATAATAAATTTACATACATGTAAACACATATGTAATAAGCTAAAACTTTATGCAGCAATTCCTACATATCTATTATTCTTTTAATAAGAACAGAGTGGTTGTTTTCAGTGTTTATTTTTGTAGAAAAAGATAAGTTTTTATTTTATAATTTGTATCTTTTCATATCTCAGTAACAACAAAATAAGAAAATTTTCAAATACAATTTCTCATTTGGAAAATGTGATATATAAAATAGAATTAACATATGAACAGTCATTTGAGAATTATAATGATGTTTGTTTTCATTCTGAAGTAAGACAATTATCTGTTGATCTATCAGGAATTATTTGCATTTCAGGACCAGCCAATTAGCTCAGCGGATTAAAGGGCCTGCAAGCAGGCGCAGGGCCGGGGTTCAATCCCAGTGCCTGCTGTGCCGGCCATAATCCCAGCTCTTGGGAGGCTGTAAACAGGCAGATCACTATGAGTCCGATCTAGTAGTGAGACCCTGAACACCCTGTAGACCCTTCCCTAAAATACAGGAAGAAAAAAATACAAAAAAAATTGACAGTAGGTTTGTCTTCCGAGTTACCAAACGGGGGGAACTGCAGGAAAGCAAAGAGAGCTTGAAGCATCACTACTCTGGATCTGTGCACATGTGTTTGGGAGAGAAAACTCAGAAAGTTTTCCCCCCAACCTGAGGGCATGGCGTGGCGGATGATAAGGGAAGGCAGGGGGAAAAAAACCATTCAGGGTCTTCAGGAGAGTTCACTGGCTGCTGGGTGCGCAGTGCAGAGGGCAGGCGGGCGTCCACCGCTGGGTTATTGCTTTCCCAGTGGCAGAGGCCGCTTGTCTCCCCGGAGCTCACCTCTCAGCTACTCCGTAGGAGACGGAGTCACGCAGGAGTCCAGGGAGTTGGCTGCAGACACTAGGGTCTCACCAGCCCCGCACCCGGGGTTCTGTCATTGTTCCCCCCACCAGGGGTAAGATGCATAGCTCTATCTCAAAGGTTTGAACCGGAGGATAACTCATTTGTTCTTTTCTTAACTCCCCGAAGGAATGAATATCTAGCTTGTTGGAAACCGACTAGCGTGTGCTCTTTGGTTCTTTTCATATATGATATGGCAGGAAGACTCAAGGTCTTTCTTCACCCTCACTTGTAATAAATCGTTTAATTATTAGAGTAGATGCTTATTCTTCTTAGGCTTTAAGAGATCAACAGTAAATGGTTGTTGCAAGACTGATGGGATGAAATCGGAATACCCTTCAGAAAGACTATATTTTTGTTCCTCCTCTGATGTTTCATTTTCTAACAAAGACTAAGCACTAGGCTTAGATAAAATAACTTAGCAGCTTCAGAAATTTGACACCATCTTTTTACCCCAGCTGGCATTACATAGTTAAAGAATTATTTCTTATGCAAAATGTAGACTCAGTGAGTGATTACAGGGAAGAGGCGGCATATCTTGAAACTGGTCCTGAGAATCTGAGAGAGCATTTGGAAAAAACAAGGGCACACTAATGACAAAGAAGATAGGTGAAAGACCCAAATAATCATACTCCTGCAGAGCTAGGAGGAGGAAACGATTTTCTTGTTTCCCGTGACGCACAATTTTGAAGTTTTTCTCCTATCCATAATGAAAGTTTGGAATAGTATTTGTGAGAGTGAATGGTTAAAGTTTCAGTAGAGAGATGAATTTTAAATGTAACTATTACTAAAAAAATTATATTAAAAATTAGGCTGTATTCAAATTAATATTAAATTAATTTAGAATTAAATCATATTTTAAATAGCAACTAAGACCTTCAGGAAGCCAGCTAAAAATCAAAACAGTCACCTATGTGGAAGTTCCACATCAACAAGCTGAGGCTAAGCTGTTTATCTGAACTTCTAGAAAATCATGATTTCAGATAATAACCAAATTTTCCAAACAGGCCAGATTCAGTGGGCAGGATAATAACATCCCCTTTGTACTAATCCTTCCGTCAAGGGTGTCAATCGAAAGAGGCTGATGTTAACTGATCATTTTTGTTATGTATCTCCCTGTTTCCGCCTCACCAAGAACCTTACAACAATCAGTCTGCTTTTGTGTTTCTTTCTTTCCGCCTTCTTCAGCCCCTCCCTGTTTATAAAACCAGCTTCATTTGTTCAGCCCATCAGGCAATTTATTCTGTTTTGTGGAATGAAAAGTTAAAGGAGTCTAGATTAGAATGCTAAGCCAATTAAAATCATTACACTAAATTGTTGTTATTCTTGCCCTGTGGTAGAGACGGTCTATTATTGCTGTATCCCTAGGGGTGCCTCTTTTCTGTTGCCGCTTTCCATAGTACTTGGATAGCTGGATACATATTGTTTGTAGATTCTTTACAGCACAGGAATCAGCATGCAAACACTATACTTCCTAGATGGATGTATTATTATTATTATTATTATTATTATTATTATTATTATTATCAGAATGGCCCTTGCGCTTGCCAGGGAAGCACTTACTCTACTGCCGTCCCCCCAGCCCCTGGATGCATTATTTTGTTCATTATCTTGGGTTATGTAGAAGTGGGTTGTGTCAATAGCTATGATATTGGAAATAGCACAAGCTATTGATCATTTCAACATTAGAGTTTAGTAAGGAAGCTGCTCATCTTGTTGGAAATCCATTAAATTTGGATATCACCAGGCTTTGATGATGCTCTTTTCATTTTACAGGAAAAAACTTAAGCATGCAGTGCTCATTTTGGAACTTCTTTTATTAATTGCATTTATATTTTATATACAGAAAAGTGTGGCAATGAACGCACCTGATCTTGTCTAATCTCTGAAGCTAAGCAGGGTTGGGCCTGGTTAGTACTTGGATAGGAGAAAAGTTTGGCAAAATTGAAAGCATTCTGTAAGAATTATTTATCTATATGAAATCTTCAATACTATTGAATATTTTATTAGTAATTTTAATATTGCATGCTATACCCCCTTAAAGTCAAGGGTTGGAAAACAGCAGTTTTGGACCAAATTGAGCTTCACAAGTTGTTGTTTATTTGTTTGTAGAGATGGGCTTCCCCTATATTGTCTAGGTCACCCAGCACCCTTAGACCCATGTGATCCTTCAGACTCGGCCTCTTCTGGGGACAGTAGACATTCCACTACTGGTGTGACACCCTATTTGGAAATAAAATGTTGGGAGAAAGCCATCATTATTCATTCATTTATTGTTTGTGGCTATTTTTGTATCACAATGGTACATCCAAATATGGTGACAGAAACAGGATTGTTCTGCAAAGCCTACGATGTATACCATCAAGCCCTTTTCAGAAAGTTTGGCAATTTCCTATATCAGTAAATATTGTTTTAAGAAGAAATACAAATGAGAATGCATGTTTGCCAGACTTGCTTGAGAACAGATGCAACTTTTCCATCTTCCACACCCTGGCATGCGTCCTCGCACATGTCGCTGCCAAGCGGGCTTCCTTGTCCCGGCCATCCTTGCTTACTGCCTAGCTCAGAAGCACGTGCTGAAGGTCCACAGAGCAGTACACCTTGTTCACCTCAGAAGACCCTTGGATTTATATCCATACTTGAGGTCAGAAATATGAACTAATTTTTCGCGAGACACAGGCCTTTTATACAGAGATGAAACTACAGCTCTGATTTTACTGAAAGTCCTGGAAGCTGATTACCTGTTATGCCATCGACTTTCTTCCTTAGTGAAATGTGTGAAGTCATTTAATTGAAGATAAATGATATACAGCTAATAAAATAACTAATTAAATACAAATGCAATTATTTTACTTTGTTTCATATTATTTTTGAAGAAAGTAAGTTTTAGAACAAAGCTTATTTAATCTTTCTGATTAAACACTGATTTTTTTTCATTCAGACTTTCACAGTTATTTTTATTTTAAAAAGCTGATTTAATTTTCTAAATTACAATCTTTAAAGCAAGTGACCATGTAAGAAAATTCTAGTATCCTGGTGGAAGAGGGCTTAAGGTTGAGGTTTGAATCATTTTACATAGGTGAATATGTAATTTATTTTCAATCTTTAATTTGCTTTCTGCTTCTAGATTTAAAGAACATCTTACCTAACTCATGAAAAAAATGAGTGAGAATATGTCTTCTGCTCTTACATTTATTATATCCCTCTCAACAAGTGTTTTGAATGAGAGCAGTTTGCCATAATAAAGTTTCACCTGACAGATTTAAAAAGGTCACACACCGTAATTAATCTAAGCCTCTGATCAGGTTTGATAATTAAAATATGGCAATGTTAAGCTCCACTTCTTTCTGGTGTACTATAAGCAAATGAATTGCAACCTTTAATAAATTACAACCATTAAAGAGTATCATTAATTTTAGAAAAATGTTCGTTGCTATCCATGATATTAACTCTTACCATCAATGTAACAATAATGTTTTAAGAAATAGGGCCAAATAAATGAAACTGTATCTAAAGGTCTGAATTTTAGTTAGGACAGGAAAATGAAAAGCAGCAGTCTCAAATACAATTTCTATGTAGCTCTAATCAGACTCAGCTTAATTGCTGTAAACTATAAATTAACTTTGCATAGTGAAGCACGTGGTATTCCTTTTGCTTTCTTGTCTGTATATTTGCATTTGTGCCCATGGTAAAAGCAGTTTGTCTCTGATTACACCACTGCTCTATTCTTCCTTGTCCTTTGTGCTTTCATATGATGTATTTCAATATATCTGAATGATTTTATTTCCTGTTAAATAGCATTGACCTATAAAAATTTTTTTAAAAAAATACCTTAAAATTGACTCTTGTGTTTTTCATTTTGGTTGAGTGATTGTAAATAGGATTTTAATAGTTTATATTTCAATGAGTAGGCCTCATCTTATAGTGAAACTTATATGATATTTATTTTCTACCTTTTGATGGTATATGTTGAGTAAATTGTAGCTTAGTAGAGTTTAGTAGTGAATTAGGTTCTCAGGTGAATTTAAGAGGATTATATTGTAAAGCACAGTTTCTTTTATTATATTTTTCTTTCAGTGGTAATTTTTAAATATGTCTTAAAGTTTCCTACATAGAAAAGAAGTATAAGTGGATTAAAACTAGATTTGATGAAAGTATCTCTAATGTGAAAAGCAAAATTGGGTTGTTTTTAAACTAATCTTCAAGTAAAGAATGATGTTTTCTTAGTCTTACCCACCAAACCCCGTCAAAATGTGAAACTAAATACATATTGAATATTTTTGTTATGTTTTACATTGCGATATATAAAATTCATTTAAGCCTGTGATAGCAATAAGGAAACATGAAATCTCTTAGTAAAATCCATGATTAAAGTAATTCAATAATCAGAGACAGACCAAACTAAAGACCTCATGCGACAATTAAAGGGGAAGTTTTAAATTTAGTCATAACTATTTTAAAATACTGAGAAGTCTCGCATGGAATACACATGTAATCCTAGCTACTAAGAAGGTTGAGACCGGAAGACCACAAGTTGGAGGTCATCTGGAGCAACTTGACAAAACGCGGTCTTAAACAGATGGAGTGCAGTGGAGTGGAATCAAAGGGAGAAGAGTGGAATGTAATGGAAGAATGAAATAGAGTAGGATAGGATAGGATAGGATAGGATAGGATAGGATAGGATAGGATAGGATAGGATAGGATAGGATAGGATAGGATAGGATAGGATGGGATAAGATAGGATAGGATAGGATAGGATAGATATGGAATAGAAGAATGGACTGGGAGTAGAGCTGAGTAGTACTTACCTAACATGCAAGAGACCCTAACAGCATCCACAAACAAACAAGCAAACAAACACAGTACTAAGAAAACTTTAGAAAATATAAAGTATGCTACACCCCAGATAAAAGGCTTTGTGAACTTGACTGATGGTTTTGAATTTTAAGATATTAATAGAAGACCTGAGAGACGTTAATTGGTGCAGACAACCCAGTTGGCACTAATAAACATCAGTAGGAGACTTTGTAGAATACAAGGGAAAGACCCATGTCAATTTTGAAAAAAAATTGCAGTACAATTTTGGAACATTACTGTGCAAACAATAGGTGTTCCAGGTTGGCAGGGAGATAGACATGTACCAACGAAATAACAAAAACACTTGACTATTTTCCTAAATTAATGAAAATCTTTATCCTACAGGTATAAAACATACACTATTTTATTTGAAAAATGCAGATATCAAAAGTATAATAGGAATTGCTCAAGTTTGCAAATGAGCATGACATCAATATTAATGTGATAAAGATAATTTATAAAACTAACAATTGTACATGAGTTTTTATCAATGATATAAAATGTATTCTAAGTAGATTCTTCAGTTTAACTTTAAGACAAAACACAAAAAATGTATCGTGCCATAAGTGCTACTAATCAAACATTCCTTAGGGTGACCTCTGAAACTCTTCTCTTCAGTGACATCATTCTTACAAATTCCACTTTAGGGGAACACCGTGACTGTGCCACATCAGTGGAGTAGAAATCCAGTGACATAGTTTTTCCTCTAATGTCAGGTAATGGGTAAATTAAGACAATCATTGAGGCAAGAAGCAAATAAGTTTGAACAGAATTGCTCAAGTTTTTCATTGCAGCAGTATCTGCCTAGGGAACCCCAAACTCCACTCCAGGGAAGAAAATGTCAGGGAAGATTTGCCTAGAGGGGGCTAGGGATTTACCTCAGTGACAGAGTGGTTGTCTTACATGACTGAAGCCTGAGGTTCAATCCCTCACAGCAAAACTCAACAGATTTGCTAGGTAGAATTGATCCTTGGGGTACCACAGACCATTGACACATCTAAACTGTTACTGCTCCCCAGAAACAATTGTCACTGACTCGAGGGTAATAAAGACAACATTGAGAATGAATATCATAAAGGAAAATGAATGGCATTATGCATTCTTGACAAACTATGAGATTATTCACTGCAAAATTTAAAAATATAATCTAGAAATACATAAGCATGTTGCAACAGAAATCCCGTAATTTGAAAACATACTGAAATGCAAGTATTGTAAGCCCACGGGATCCCATGTAGAGGGCTGTTTATTTCTTCAATAATCATAGTTAAAACAAAGCACCTTGTACTAACTATGTTTAGAAAAGCTTCATTTCATCAATATGGGGACAGGAGAACAGATTGTCATAGTTCCAAGGCATGTCTATCAGTAGAAACAATCTATATTTAAGAGACGTCTGTAATTCATTGATAAAGGAAAGACAGATAAAAGTGTGAGAAGTTTAACCTTCAAAAGAATAATTATAATGTAAAAATGACTAGGAATTGGCTATTCCTGCCACCTTTACATTTTAACTTTATTATGTTTTGCAGATTTATGATGGAAAAGATAAAACGACACATCTGCTAGGTGCTTTTACTGGTGCATCTATGCGGGGACTCACACTTAGTAGTACTTCCAATCAGCTCTGGTTAGAATTTAATTCTGATTCTGAAGGGACAGATGAAGGCTTTCAACTTGTCTACACCAGTAAGTATTTTGGAAGAATCAAAAAGTAAAATACTGATGCTGAATGTGTACTAAGTTACTGCAGCATGAAAGGTGAAGTAACATGTAATAGTTGAGTATCAATGTGCTGTTTACAACTGCCTTCTCCATGTACAACTTAATTGGACCCTTTGCCATCCTTACAACTGAATCAACTAAGGTTCAGAGAGGTTAAATAAGTTGTGAACTCTGGCTTTATTTAGTTATGTGTATTTTAGATAGCAGGAATCTTCCTATCAATGGACAAGAAATGCAACCAAGTTCCTTAACAGATGTCCATGTTCTCACCTCCTGGCCAACTGCAGACAAAGCATGTGCAGGGATCAGTGTCATCGTCATTGATGACAACTACATGGGATCCAATGACTTCAAACTAAAATTTGCCTAACAAGTTTAGTTTGCTGTGGCTTTGTGTTGAATTTCCTTATTAACGTATCGTTGCAGACTTGTTATATCAATATTAACTATTCTTTTTTAAAAAATTTTATTGAGAAAGAAATGGCAATGAGACAATTTCAAAACCGATTAGTAGGATGGCTGCAATAATTGATACATTGCATATTGTTGGCTTCTTAGTGGTTATTTCTAGTACAAGATGCAGACATGATATCCTGTCTACAAACACTATTAGAACAGATTTTTCTATTCATTGAATTAAGAGAAAGTAACTGTATATCTATCCTAACTTTTTTTTTTTTTTTTTTTTTTTTGGCAGAGCCGGGGATTGAACTTAGGCTCTTGCGCTTGCCAGGGAAGTGCTTATTCCACTGAGCCATCTCCCTGGCCCCATATCCTAACTTTTGAATGTACAGATACAAAATGGTCCTTCATTTGTATTCCCTTTTTTTGTTTAGTTTTGTAAGAGATGGGTATTCCATTGCTATTTAAATATTGTAGAAGCACGAATTGAGCAAAATATTCCTATATAGTCCAGTAGTCCATAATAGAACTGGGTTTTCCGCAGGACTGGCAGTGTCAGAGTTGTTGACTTCAGCTTTTCACAGCTCAGCATATGAATATGGCTTTACATTTTATACTTTGTTTTGATATTTTCTGCTGGATGGTTAACATCTAGCTAAAGCAAGACCTATGTCACAATAAATATAGCTTTTGTATGTGATAAGTTCAGTCAAATCCCCTCAGGATTTATCCTGAAACCCTGTACTGCAATTTGTAGATCCCTTGTCATTGTCAGCCATGTGGATGAGTCACAGCCATTGTTTGACCAATTTGCTCTCTGTGAAAGCCTAAGAGAATGTTTTCTCTTCATGTGACTCTCCTTAGACACACTCTATATCATCAATTACTTTCCTCTGTGCCCCTATAATCTCCTTAATCAGAAAATTTGGGACACAACTGAGTTACATGATGTTACAGTACAGGTTTTCCTATGTCCTGACTCCTCACTGACCATGAAAGGCTAGGGCCAAAACTTTGGCTGTCCTTGCAGCCCTTCTTTTTCTCTAGATTTTGGTCTGTAAACTTAGGTTGTTAACCTTCCAGAATAGAAGCGTATTATTATTACCCTACAGCACAGGCAGTTGAGCTTAATCTATCTGTCTGAATTTCAAACATCTTAGATATAACATGGAACAGGTATTTTCTATTAAGTATTGATATGTTAAACTTTAAGTCCCTACAGACTATGAAGAAAAAAAAATTTTTTAAAATTAAAAAAATAGGAATGTTAGCTATTCTGATCAAGAGTGGAAGTTCAAGGATTGATAATTCTAGGTAGACAATTACATTGATGGCTATATGAATTAAATGAAAGAAATTTACTAGCGTCATGATGTAAGGAATAAGATACATCAGTGGCAAAAAAATATTTTCAAAACTGTGTAAAGTTTCTATGTAACAAAGTTACATAGTGGTAACAAAATAAAGTACATGTAAAACAAATGGATACCTTTTTGTTTAATAAATTTGCAATCTGTCATATCAAATTGGTGGTTGGAAGTTTAGAATATTCACTTAAATTGAAGTGCCTGCAAGCAGGTGCAGGGGCTGGAGGTTCAGTCCCTGGGCCTGCTATGCTGGCCCCACCCCCAGGGTGTGATAAGACTACAATTGAGAAGACTGGTTGTGGTGGAGCGTGCCTGTAATCCCAGTTCTTGGGAGGCTGAAAACAGGCAGATCATTATGAATCTGATCTAGTAGTGAGACCCTGAACACTCTGTAGACCCTTCCCTAAAATACAAAAAACAAAACAAAACAAAGAAAAATCAATATAGTGAAATTAGCTAAGTAGCAGTATTCAGAAGTCTTCACTGGAAAAGACTCATATTTATCTGATCCCTTATACACTTTCTCAAGCGGTCAGTTGAGTGGAAATACAAGTAGGGAATTAAAAACGTTATTATATCAAAGGATAACATTGGGTCTTAGAGGGAATTTAAAAGTAATGATTGCTTGTCAAAATATTCTGTCTCACTGGTATGAGAAATAGAAGTGAGGAAAATTAATGATACATTATGTTAATATATTTGGGTCCAGAGTACTGTGAGGCTACCTTTGCTACTAGTTTATTTTAATGCTTTCCCAACCTGTGTTAGAATTGTCAATTCATGGGTATTAACAAAGCTTAGGTGAACAAGGTAAATACTGTATGCATATGTTGAAATCCTCTGTGTATACAAAGAGATTTCTCAGGAGTCTCGCCGCAAGAAAACTATCTAACCAAATGGTGTCTGCAGCTCTTATTGTAAGATGGACTGAAAATAGTGCTACTGAGTACTATTGCTCATATATGATTTTTGTGATGTTACAGAGGCAGTTATTTAAAACTCATTGTTTTCTTTGTTCTGTATTTTCTAAAGGATTGCTGCCAATTTAAGGTTTTGTTGCAAATAGTAGCACAATGTTTTCCTAATGGTCTTTCTTAGTTCTGCTGCTTTGTGGTATTTTTTTTTTTTGCATTTTTTATTGTCTGAAATATTTCCATGAAAGAGGAATCCTAGATCCCCTTTTCTAACACATAAAATCTGTGTAACAAGATTATTGGTACAAAGATAATAGGAATTGTTAGATATACTTTCACTGAAAATTGTATCATTGGTCAGTGGTCTGGAATAAGTAAAATCATTGACTTTACTGTCAATAATGTGAGCTATAAGATGTCAAGGAAGAAAATCCTTTATAAAAATGTTTGGAATACTTCCCTTAAGGACTGGGTATACATTACACCTTGTGCATTATAAATATTTTAAATTATTCAATTGAGAAGAAGCCATAACAGCAATTACTCTTTCAGAAGGACAAATGCATTTCTATGAATCATTTTCAGTCTCAAAACTGAAACTAAGATATTTCACTCTCCAATTTGGTACTAAACAGTTCACAGAGTACTGCTGCAGGGCACCTCTGGGGATCACAAGTTCAGTGCATGATGCTGCAGTTTTGGGACCAGGATCCCTACCATGGACGAAGGGCCTGTTGTCATTCCTAAGCATTGCCTCTTATGCTTTCATTGGAAACTCTTGTGCATACCTGCATTTGTCTAGAGTAAACCACAGATTTTTTTTAACTTTGAAAGTTTGCTCTCATCCTCCTAGTGCATATTCTTCATGCTACAGCTGCAGCACCCATGTGCAGGTGGCTTTCTCTTTAGAGCATGCCTTCCCACTTCGGCACTGTATGAGCTGCTGAGATCCATCTGAGATCCATCTCAGACATTTCCCACTGACACTGGGAGCCATAATCAGTTAGCATTTTGACATTTGTACTTGGTTGGTTCCATATACAACTGACATGACAGTTATCACGTTGCTGTGTGATTATACTTCTTTCCAAATATATTATTGTGCATAGCTCTTAGGCGAATATTTCATTTGAGTTCGACTGTATCCTTTTTCATAATCCTGGTAATTTAAAGTGTGGTTTGAATACTAATCTTATACAATCCTTTTGTAGTGCCAGAAGGTTGTATTGGGCCTCATTTTAAATATTCATAAATGTTTAGAAGCAATAACTAGTTCCTGAATATTGGACAGTGTGTGTAAGATGTTCGAATATACAGGGAAGAAAGAAAAGAGTATGTTCTAGTGTTCGATTCCCTGACATAGTTATATGCGAGACAACTTCCAACCTGTCTCTTCCATGGTATGTTTCTCTTGCAAAATTTCCCATGTTGTTCTTGTAATATCCTGACAAGTGCAGAAAAGACCCCAGCATCACACTGAGAGAGTCAAAATAGGAGAAGGAGGTTTCGCAAAGAGGGTGGGGTAAGGTTTTCTGAGGATGTAGTGTTAAAAGTGGAGTTTGTGATTCCTAGAAAATAATGTGGAAGAAAATTCCTGGCAAATAGGATGAGAGATCACAAAGACTCAGAAGAACATAAGCAATTTCAGGGCAAAAAGTTCAATTAATATTACTCGTTCATGCCTAGATTCTTTTTTTTTTTTTTTCAGAACCAGGGATTGAACTCAGGCCCCTGCTCTTGCCAGGCGAACGCTTATTCTGAGCTCTCTCCCCAGCCCCTGTTCATGCCTAGATTCTTCTCACAATTTTAATTTTTAATGGTCACTCTTTTTTGCTATTACAAGTTGTTTTGAGTTAGTTACACCTACTTATTTTCAGTTTTAGATAAACTGCATTGCATTTGTCTGATGTAAACTAAGTAAATAGATAAGTTACCATGAGCCGTGAGGGTGCATTACATTTCAATTGTCTTATTACTCCATTCATTATGTACTTTATAAGACTACTAACTAGATGCACAGAGCGGAGGTTGAAATACTGCTCTTTGCTTCAAGGAATAGAAAATCTAACCATGGCTTAAGCAACGAAGATATTTTGTTCGTTTAAGAAGTGAAGAGAGAGAAGGCTAAGTCATAATCCAGTGGCTCGACAAAATTGGAAAGGACCTGTGTGTGTGTGTGTGTGTGTGTGTGTGTGTGTGTGTGTGTGTGTGTGTGTGTGTGGTGTGGTTTTGCTATGTTATTTTTGTTTTGTTCTGGTCACCAGTCATCGCTGCGACTCTG